GTCGTGGCAGTGGCTTGTAAGGAGACTACTTGAGAGTAGAGTCATAGCTGCAAATGTCCCATGAGAGGGCCGCATGAGCTGAGACCGAGCTACGTATAGTCTCGGGAGATGACTGTCGTGGCAGAGACTTATGAGGAGACTACCTGCGCGAGAGCAGAGTGATAGCTGCAAACGTCCCGTGAGAGGGCTGCAAAAGCTAAGTCCGAGCTATGTATAGTTTCGGGAGATATCTATTGTGGCAGAGGCTCATTCCATTAAGATGGAGATGACGAGGGAGGCTATTGAGAAAGCCATTGCAAGCACCTTTATTAATGGTTATGAAGAGCTTGACAGCTTTTCCTACTAGTGAGTTCTCTGGCTTCGTCCTGTATGAGGCAACAAGGGTAGATAGTGACGGGGAGAACATTGATGATAGTAACTCAGAGAGCAGTGACTGATCGTTGGGAGTGTGATGACTTTTGTCTTTTTGTTTACCTACTATAGCTCTTCAAGTGTTCGGTGTCCCATAGGTGGGCCAAGACTTCCCTGGCAGAGTTAGAGTCGCCTCCTCCTCCTAGCCCTTAGGAGATTGTCTAGATTTCTCCGAGGGGTTGTTGGCGTTCTCGATCATCTTGGGCCCGACCAGGTGCGGGGGCTTGTCCTCTATAAGCAACGTACTGTCTCAACTGGCCACACTGTATAAGTTCTTCGATCTTCTTTTTAAGATCAAAGTAGTCGTTAGTATCATGGTTGTGGTCGCAATAGAAGCGACAGTACTTGTTCATGCTCCTCCAATTCGGGGCAGTCTTCATCTTCTCTGGCCAGCATACTGTAGGGTCATCCTATATTTGGAACTGGATATGCTCCATGGAAGTATTGAGCGGCATGAAGGCTTGTCGCTCTCTCAGAGGTGAGAGACCAAGGCGATTCTTGACAAAGATTTTCTTTGTCCTATTCTTTTTATTCTTTGTTTCCCACTTGTCCTCAAGGGTGTCCTTCCTCTTCTCGCCCCCATGGGAGGACTCACGTCATCTAGCCTTGGTGACATTCTCGGTGTTCATGTACTTTTATGTCATTGACAGCAATTCGGGCATGCTGAATTATGGCTTTTTTAGGACACAGAACATGAAACTAGAGGAGCGCAGACCTGCAATAAGGGCAGCTAGGGCTACTTTATCGTCTGGCTCTTCAATCTGGAGAGCTTCCTCGTTGAAACGAGTGAGGTAGCTCCTGAGCTTTCATCCCAGTTCTGTTTGATGGTGAGTAGGTGGGTAACAGACTTCTGATGTTGGTGTCCTCCAATGAAGTGGGAAACGAAAGATTTACTCAGCTCCGCAGAGGAGTGGATAGAGAATGGTTTGATCTTTGCGAACCATTGTCGAGCAAACCCCTTCAAGGTGGTGGAGAAGACCCTACACATGATCTTATTAGGCACGTTGTGGAGTTGCATAAGAGACTTATACGTGTCAAGATTATCCAGAGGATCTTTGGTACCATCACAGATCTCGATGGCAAACATCTTGAACTTCGAGGGTAGAGATAATTAACAATGTCTATAATGAACGAGGTATTAGTGTGCCTTATAAAGTAATTCACCGTCTTGAGCGCCTGTGCCTTGATGGCGTTGAGGACATCACCGAGCTGGTTTTGCACTTCTCTGATCTTCTCGTCACATTGGTTGGAGACATCCTCTGTTGGGTGGTTGTACTGACTTCCATAATCGGCATATTGGCTTTCTCCTTCGTCTTCCTGCGTAGGTACATGAGAAGGGAAAATATTTGAACTTCTTGCGCACTAAGGAGGGACTCATGGGCGAGGGGCATCCTGGCATTGCTCGAGGGCATTCTAGCGAGGGGCCCTATAATGGGGGGCTGCTTGGCGCCCAGAGTGGATGGGTTGCTACGCTTCTATCGTTGGAGGGAGTGGTGTTCCTTCTACGAGCTGAGGAGCAACGCCGCCCTAGGAGAACATCAACTGAATGATTTGTTGGCTCTGGTTTATCAACAGCTGCATGGTCTATAAAAGTTGTTGCCCGACAACGGGAATCACCATAGCGGATGGTCCCGAGGGTGCGAGTGGAGGTAGAACCTCCTCCCGGGGGGCCAGGTTGTTGTCTCCCAGTTGTTGACTCATCGACCTAGTCGTGATTGTCATGGATTTCAAGAGGGTAGCAAGGTAGTAGAAAACTTAGTCGTTCGCACAGACATCGACAAACTGATAATGCACAAATTGGACTCGTGCAAGATTAACATTCGAGTGTATGAAGATGTATAATTAATGTACAATGAATAAAGTAATCAATGGTAAGACAGTAAATAATGAGTCAACACACAGATATATAGTGATTCGGTCCGGGTGACCTACTTCACTCTTGAATACAGTAATAGAGAGAAAGCTCCGGGAGAGATGGGCTCCGGAAGAGGTACAATAGCTAGGAGAGAGAAGTTATGTGTGTAGAGAGGTTTTGGTGAGATACCAAAGTATAGAGATGTGTGTTGGGAGATCTCAAAATGTGTCTCTCCATGTGGAGAGAGCTTATAATTTATAGGTATGGTGAGGTGTTGACGTGAGTGAGAGGGCACTACTTATTTGATAAGTACAATTAAGGTAGGATTGATTTTTATGAGTGCATATCCCGATAATCTCTCTCTCACGTGTTCTTATCTTCCCGAACTCCTTGGACCTTGGACTGGGTCGGATTAATAAAGTGGGATTGGGCTACCTTTTAGCCGACTTGAGCTTGGTTGATTAATTGGGTCTGGCCTAATTGGTTTTGGGCTCATCATATGTAAAAAATAATTTCATTAGATATAAATATATCATCCTACTTATCAAAAAAAATAAAAAAACTAAACTTTATAAAATGCCAACCCAAGACATTTTACTTATTAAAATAAAAAGGGGTAATTTTGGCATTTTTAAAGAATAAGTAGTCAAATTGTGCACTTTATTTACTATCAGAGATGAAAGTTACTATTAGGGGTTGTTCATGATTTGACAGTATAAATCAGAAGAGGGGGTGCAATTAAGTTTCAGAATCAGAAAAAAGTGTCATTGAATTTAAACATATTCCCATTTAAATATTTATGAAAGCATATAAGTCACATTTCAAAAATATGTGCAACATTTGAGCAAAATCGTGTGGTTAACGATGATCTCAAGTATTTTATCCATGATGTACGATGTTTCAAGTAAACGATCGAGAGGATAAGTTATTTGATTATCAAGAATGTGACACACCGAAATACATCTGATCTAACTAGTACTTATAATTCCATTACAATTCTTGGGAGCTCTAGAAAAAACTGATATTGAGAATTCTATGGTGTCACGCAGGCCACCCCACGATTTCCAATATGTTTAACCAATTCTCCCGAACCTAAGGAATCAAACTCATCTACTAGCAATCTGTCTCAGTCTTTACGTGACGAAATAGTGGAACCCACATAACGTCACAAGCTATAACACTTATCCAATATAAGTGGTAGGAAACATTGGAAACCTCAAGGTAACAAACTCATGGAAAATATTGTGTACTTAAATTTGTATTTTAAATGAAGGGGACCATTGGATGAGTAGGTTCCATCAATTTTTTTAAATGAGACCCACTAATCCAATGATCCCTTTGATTTGGGATGCAAATTAAAAATACCTATTTTTTGCCTATAATATTCATTCAATAATTTTTTTTTGTCTACAATTGTACTATTCGTATCTAACTTTAATTTGATTTAAAAATATTTTTTTATTGACTCAAACACAACACGAAGATGTTATGATACGATACAATTGAGAGTTATTTAACGAGTATTAATGAATGCAATTTTTTCTTGGATCATAAATATAGAATATTTAAACTTTGCAAGGTAAAATTTATAATTAGCCTAAAAGTTATGGATGGAGTTAGCCTCAGGTGCACATTAATACAAATTTATGTCTTTTAGCGTGTAAATTAATATTTTTAAACTTTGAGAGTGCAAATTAAATTTTAAGTGATCTTTGGGGGTTCAAGTAAAAATTAGCCCTAAATATTTTTACATCCAAATATACTTTTTATAAAATATTTTAATTTTAAAATTTCAAACAAGACTTATTTAATAAAAGTATTTTTCTTATAAAACACTTTCGATAAACACTTATTGAAAAAATACTGTTTGAATTTCATACCATTCTTGTCTAATGAGACGAAGCTAAATTTTAATTCTTATCACCCAACATTCATCAAACTTGTAAGAGCATGGAAAATGGTTACAGCTTTCATTGCTTTTTCCAACTGTTTGTGTTGAACGAGTGGAGCGAGAGAGCAAAAGTGACTGTACAAATTGTGGCGTGGGAGGTTAGGTTCAATAAAGCAAGATGACTTGGTTTGTGCAATGCCTAGCTTGCTATCCAACAATTTCAACACTGGATTCATTCAATTCATTCCTGTTTCCCATAGCATGTCCAAAACTCAAATTTCAATTGCTCCATCAATCAAGTCAGTCTACAACATTTTTCAATCAACCATAAGTCCACAATATAGCCTCCACAGACATGTATAACTTTTTTTAGCCTAATCCCAAAACAAGATCAGTAGGCTGTGAAATTATTCATCAATCAAGGATTCCAAAAAGAACCTTTGGTGGTCACTTATGAAGGATCATGTTTACCACTCTCAGGTACAATATGGGTTTTGATTTTTTTGGTCTTCATTCTGTTGAAGGGCTTCGTTTTTGGCTTCATTTTCTCTACCTTGCTGAGATTGTAAATCCTTGATGTTTTATATCCTCTCTCTCTTAATATATCTCGTATATTTGCTTAACAAAAACATAATAAGGATCATGTCTTTAACCGCAACTGCCACAAGCACAGGGAAGATACAATTTTCCATTAGTGTAGTCATGCTCATATCAACACAAGGTTGTCCTACTCCCAACATAAGGTTGGACTTATCCAACCTTTTCCATGTACTCGTAACTCTAGTAATTTTTACTAATACAAGGTTCTGTTTCCTATTAATAGATAAAAAACAGTAGCTCACGCTTCGATTTCCAATCTAAGATTTCAATAAGCTTTGCCATTCTGAACTCAATTTCAAACTAATGTCAATGCTGAAAGTGTTGGAGAAACATATATCCAGCTGAGAAAATATTGTGAAACAGATTCTTTACAAGTAGTTCATAATATTTAGACAGGATCATGGAGTAACCACTAGAAATGAACTACATACAGGAGGTTCCTCAGAAGTTTGCTGAGGCTTGATTCAACTTCTTCATACAGAAACGCCCTCTTCTCATGTGCCTTGATGTCATGGGCGTAACTGTTGCCATAATTTAGCTTACATAGCAAACACTAACGTATCCTCCCAAAACCAGCTGCAGAGTCCTTTTCCATAGCCTGTCAGACAGTATACTTGTTTATAGAATATTTACCCAAACATTGCCTACTAATATCAAATGGGTGTGTGTGTGTGAGTGAGAGAGAGAGAGAAAGAGATCTTACAGACACAATCAAAAATTTCATCGTCACTGGAATCAGAATTTAAGCCAATTTTTACACTTTAACATACTTGTCAACATAGCCCTGCAGAGTAACATTGTAAGAACAATGTCGCTAATATGAGAAGAGATGATTTAATTAACTTATCATACAAACTAAGTCATAAGCAAGTTTAACTTCCCAGAAAATTTTAATCTACTCAAAACTTACTGATTTTGAGCCATACACATTCTCTGCCTGCAAAAAACTTATTTTTAAGAAAATAGCAGAACTTTCACACCTCAAAATTTACAAGGCGTCCCCCGAAACTTGCACTCTGATCTAATATTACTAGAAAGATATGTCCAATAAAAAATTGTTCATCTGAATTTTACAATAATTGTGAACACATCAACGCAAGATTAAAATCATCATAGACATCTAGCTCAGAAGACTCGAGAGAGACCAGACTAAATGCAAACACACCTTTCTCTATCAGTACAACAGGCTGGAAAACAAAAATTATCCAAGGATCATGGAGCACCTTCCAGTAATAAAAACTTGTTAAACAGTAGAACTCAACAATGGGTATGATGGTATCATTAATATCTAATTTATGCAATATTTTCTTTGCAATCTCAGACCAAGGAAAAAATTGACAACTAAAATGGAGGTTTACCATTACAAGCTTCGTCAATTTGCGCTGCGACGAGTCAATGTACTGGTCTATCTTTGCCTTGGACTTGGGTACCTGGTGGCTCTTCATAGCTCCAGATACTTTATCTACTGTCTTCTTGACAATAGTCTTAAATGCTTCCTTGCTCATGTTACCCTGGCGCCATGAGGGCTTTAAAACCTCTTTTACAAAATTAGCAAGGACACTCTTAAAAAGTCTCATTGATCTGGAATCTTTGCTCTTCTTGCTTTTTCCAGGAGTCTTAACCTGATCAATCTCAATCTCTCCAGCAGCTGTATTTTCAACATCAGTTGGATCGCTTGGGCTTCCATTTTCGACAGCACCCACTTCTGCATCTGCTGTCTCCCCATATTCGTCATTGTCTAGAGACACAGTAATGACAACAGCTCCGGCCTCTCTCTTTTTGTTGGTTTCTCCCACATCCAATGGCTTGTTGGATCCACTGAGCCTTAACATGTCCGATTCATCAGTGGTTTCACGCTTTTGATCATGATCAGCTTTCCTGAATGAGTTTGACGATGGCTCAATACTGTCAAATAGTGGATCATATTGGTCACCACCAGACCTAGGTAAAATCTGCTCAACAGCCCGGGCAGAATTTGGTGAGGAAGCCATATTTCTTGAGCCAAAACTACCAACACCTTGCCCATCGAGTGGAACATGGTTCAAACTGAATGAAGCACCATACTTGTGACCATATGGCATGGGCATGTCCTTTTCTAGATTGATAACATTCGAACTGAACTTAGAGCTTAGAGGCTTGTCAAATGTAGATGCATAAGGGTTGTAGTGATTTGAAATTCTGGAAACTCCAAAATTGGACACAAGAGATGGCTGATTCCTGTCAGGAAAATCTGATGTGTATCTCAACATTTTAGAATTTATCATTCCAGGCTCACCCAGATGCATAGAAACACTATCAGGTGCAGGGCGTTGCAAACCATAAAAAGGCTCTTGCAAATATGGATTACTCTGAGAAGATGGAGTAAGAAGATCACCTGGAGGCAGATTTTCTGCAGGAAAAGATTGCATTCTCCTTGTTGGTGATTCCCTAAAGAAAGCCACGGACTCCGGGTGTATATTTCCCTGAGAAAATGAACTGGAAGGAATTAAACCCTGTACCGGAAGTTGTCTGAAGCGATCTTCTCCGCCTAGACAAGGGCCACCAGAAGACTGACTCAACGGGTTGCTCACAGGCAATGTCCTTTGTCTGAAATCCTCCAAGTGCGATAGAGGTCGATCAGGCTCCTGAGCTGCAGGGTAGATTCGATGCTGAAACTCACCAACCTGAGAATGAGCAGGCAGTTCGGTAGGGTGAGGCCTGACAAACGTGTGAGAAGAGAGGTCATTCCTCGTAGGCAGCAGATTCTGCTGAGATTGTAATGAAGATCCACCATGTGGGGCAATTGCGGCATTTAAAGTTGCCTCGTTCACATATGGTGGACGTGGTGGTGGTGGCGGTGGTGGAAGTAGCAGCGGCGGCGGCGGCGGTGGTGGAAGTAGCAGCGGCGGCGGCGGCGGCAGAGAGCTTCTCGCAGAACTCTCTGGCATAGGAAAATGAGAATATTGGTAGGGCAATGGAGGTTGATAGGGAGGATAATTTTCCATAGAAGACGACTGAAATGAAAATGTTACAGTTGGTGGCATCAAGTTGTAATCTCTGGTTATGCCTTGTGTATCTGAGGGAATGGGAGGTGGTAAATGGGAAGGAAGATGTGGAATAAGCGAGGACAATTCCTTTGGAGCCAGAGACTCGGATGAAAAGGGCTTGTTGCTCACAAAATTCATTTCACGGTCTGACTGAATAGAAGAAATCTGATTTGGATTAAATCCCTTAATAGGAAGCTGATTTGGGATGGCTGATGATGTCTGCACAACTGAAGAATCGGATATAGAAGATTCACCCATATGCTGAGGTTGGTGATCAGAATTTTGGAGCACCAGATCAGAAAGATGAGTTTGAGGTTGCTGAAAGCCCAATTTCTCCTGTACAGCATGAGAACTGTCCCCAGGTAACTTCTTTGCATCAGCATCAGTAACTAGAGCAGGAAAATTATGGATCAGTGGGATGGTCTCCCTCACTTCCAGACAACTTTTATCATCAGGAAGCCCACTGGTGGGCTCCACGTGCTCTTCTTTAATGTCTTCCATTTGCAGCCCTTGTGCAGGGATCTCTCTAGGCCCCACAGATTCATCCATGGCAGTAACCAATGATTCACCATCTTCCCCCCCACAAGTCCTACCAGAAACTCCCATTTTTTCCTCATTCGTGTTCATATCCTTTGAAGGACTCCAACTACCTCCAGTTGTATCCTGAACGAGCTGCATCTCTTTATTCTTGACTTGATCATGCTCACAAACTGATTTTTTAGGAGGAATGGTCTGAGTCTCTTCATGGAAATCAGAAATTTTTGACCTAGGCAGAGCTTCTTGATACTGCCTTTTGCTCTTATACCACCTTGATCCCTCACTCCTGTCAGAGTCATTGTGCCGAAATCGACAGGATGCCCCACGGTAACATTTGCCACGACGGAAGTCAAAGCAATCTGGAAGCTGACCCTTGTCCCGTCTCATTTTGTCACCACCAACTTCAACACCTCGCCTAAAAGGAGACCGACTCCTGCTTCTTCGTTTCTTGGGAGACCAGCTGAAAGATAACCAGCAAGAAATTTAAAATTTACAAATGCCACACTCCAAAACAAATCAACCGGTTGAAAGCAAAGTACAGTACCTAAAGTCTGATATTACACAACTTGCAGTGGATAAATTCACCATATAAACAATTTAGAACATAAACCAAAATGCATACCTGCGAGATCGGCTGCGCTTATCATTTCTTCTCCATGGACTCCTCCTCCTCCTATCATGAGGAGAACGGCTTCGGCTCCAACTTCTGCCCCTCTTACCACGTCTCCTAGTATAGTATGAATCATCAGAGTCTGTGTCACTAGCACCTTCTCTGACTAATCTGCCAAACTCATCGACCTTTGCATCTTCCTTCTGAGGCTTACCACTTGCCGGCACAGCATCAAGACCCAAGGCATTTTTTTTAAGATTTCCATCATCATTAGTTGATTCTTGATTCCGATCACTATTACCAACAAATTCCTCAGCTTTTCGAGTTACAGGAGATGACGTATAAATTTCTTTCACATCCCTCGTAAATTTTACTGAAGAGTCCATAGATTCAGATGGCTTGTTCAGAGAACATGCCAAGACAAACTCAGAGACTCGCCCAAATCCTGTCTCAACCTCTGGAAGACTCTTAGATCCTAGATCTTTCTGGAAATCATGACCCACGTCGGTGTAAAAACTTGTTGGACCAGCTCTAAGTGATGGAGATACTGCTACAAGGCTAACATCTTGGGGACGAAGCTCATCATCATTTTCTGAACTTTCATCAGAAGCATAGTCTTGTATAAGTCTGAAAGGGCTAAAACCTTTAACAAATTGATCCTCAGAATTGATTCCAGATGCAGGTACTGACACTTTGGATTGGCTCAAATCTTCATGGGGGATTACCAAAGATCTCTCCATGCTGATGTCTACGGGGGATTCAGCAGCTCCAGCTGGATTCGTGACTGAGCCATCAACTTCACAAAATGACCTTCCAATTGTTGAGCAATCACGATTGGGAAAAAGATCAGGTCCTGTAAATATTGAAGGGAAAAAATGTCAAAACTCATTCAATAAAAAAAAATGAGAAAAACACAGCTCAAAAGGACAATCTAAAATAGGAACATAAAGAAATCCACAGAGGAAGCCCAAAATTTTGGGATAATCTGGATATTATAACATGATTTTTTTTGATAAGTAACAAATTTTATTAATAATAAGAAATATGTAGTACAAAAGAAGAATAAGGGTGGACAAGTAGTCCAAACCTTATGTTAAACAACCAAAACCAGTCCCACTAAGGCAGCAAGCCTAAGACAAAACAAAAAAACAATCAAATTATTCAACATATAAATACACTTTTTCACGTGTATTTAACATATAAATACACGTGAAAAAAGTGATAGGACTTAACTACGAAAACCTAATATAATTTTTTTTTGTATAAAGTATTATAATAAAGATAGTTTTCATAGAGAATAATATTTCGACATACCACTTTGCGAGTATGCTTGTCAATGATATAATTTTGACTCATCCGAATGGCAATAGTCTTGAAAACCCTTTCTGTATCTAATCTAATTATTCAAATGATTTCGTTTTTATAATTCCTATTAGAATCCATTAAATATTATGAATTTTATCAAAAATCCAATATAATATATATGTGTGTGTGTGTATCGCATTGTAATTTTAATTCAATTTTATCGTTTAGTTTCATCAAATATTTACATATACATATTTGTGTATGCATATTAAATTGAATCAAACTGAATTATTAAGTTGAAATGAATTGAATCATAATTAGATCAAATTTTTTTATGCCCAAATCTAAAATATTAGAATATGATATAGTATATTCGAACTTAGATAGTTGGTCAAAAATATTAATCTATGTCTTAGCAATCGCATTTGGAGAAGGATTGATTCGGTAACTTAAGTGAATCATTGCAGAAGGAATAGAGATAACTAGAGACTAAATAAAAAATTGTGAGATTAAGTCTGTATGTGCGAACCTTGAGTCTAAGTTTTTAGTTCATTAAAAAAATGAAAAGAGGCAAATTATTAGAAAATTTATTTTTTATTACAATTTTAAACTAATCCTAAAACTTTTCAAAATTTCATTGGGGTCACCCCACCCAGCCTCCACCCCAACCCTTCATAAAGTTGTGTTGAATCCTTCTTCTTTAGCCCGAAGAAAGTGGATCAGCTCTTTTTCAGGAGAATTCTCGTGTAAATCTCTTTTCGAGCCATTGACTAATAAACGTTGTTTCCTAATTTTCCAACTATCGTTAATGATTTGGAAATCTAAGACTCCTTTAAAGGTATAAGTTTTTGTTTGGTTGCTTGCACATAAGAGACTCAATACCACAGCTTTGCTACAAAAGAAAAGACCTTCATATTGTCTTTTCCCAATGGTGTTCAATGTGTAAAAGTGGGGAGAAAATTATGGATCACATTTTTTTTGCATTGTTCCTATGTCTACAAATTATGAAGTAGGTAATTGGGATTTTTTGGTATTCCTTGAGTGAGCCCAAAATATTGTACTTCAATATTTGAGATTCATTTTTAAGGCTTTAGTCAAAACAACAAAGCTAAGATCTTATGGAGATGTGCGATTTTAGCTTTTTCTTGGGTGTGTTGTTGGAACAAAACGGGCGAGTTTTTGAAAAACGAAAGGCTTCTTAGAAAAATTTATGGGATAAAATCACTTCCATGGCTTCTCTTTGGGTTATCGCGATGAATGACTTTGAAGGAATACCTTTCTTTTTTATTAAGGATCATTGGCCTCAAGTGTATGTGTCTATTTTGATATGCTCATAGTTTTGCTTTTAACCTCTCTTTTATTAAATGTATCTTTCTTGCATGAAACTTTTATCATGAGGACTCCCAGTCCTCTCATGAACTCTTTAATGATTTTATTGAGGATTAATAAATTTTCATGTTTCTTATCAAAAAAAAATATTTTATAACATTTATCAATTTTTTTCATAGGCATCTTAAGGATTCATCCTGAACTACAATACAAAATCTGCTAATCCACCCTAGTATTTAATCATGACTCCAAAATTCCAACAAAGGAAAAGAAGACTCAAAATGCTTGTAAAATGACACAACTCCTCCGTAACGACTGTGAACCATCAGTACATTGTAATAAACTGGTTCAGTACAGTGTAATAAACAAAAGGCTGTAAAACAAACTGAGCTACTTGAGCTCGGCTCCCTGTGAGTCTTGTTCGGAATTAGCTCGTATGATAAACGAACCAAATAAGAGCACATTTTTAAGCTCTTCAATATTTTAAGCTTGACTCAGTAAGCTAATTAGCATCCAAAGACTATAAAACCTTAAGCTACTCGAGCTCAGATCTACCAAGACAAGTTCAGAAACTACTTGTAACAAAAACAAGTAAAGCCTGAATAGCCAATGACAAAGTCATCTCCACGTTAGGTTTTCACGAAAGAGTTGACCTCGACGGTGAGATAGATAAGGTATTAGGTAGCCCAGGTTTCTAACATCTGCTGACAAAGAGTGTCTATCCCCAAGCAAGACCCAAGGAATGTGGGCAAAAGCTTCCTGTTTTGCCAGAACTTTGAGCTTCCGCCACTTCCCTTTATTAAAATTTGCCCAAATTTCCAACTAAGCTTGAACAAACTAATCATTTTAACTCGGCTCATTTACACCCCTGAGTAGACAGAACCCACCATTTTTGATATTGCGCATATCGTTTTTTGATTGTATTGAAACGTATCTCAAGATATGGTGAAAAACGATACAACTTGTAGATAGTATCGTTTGAGTACTATACTACGACGTATCATAAGATAAGTATCGTGTATTGTAAGATACTAACAACTATGGAAACCTCTACAATTGCTAATTGAATTTGGGTCGGATGCTTTAACAAGGTATCAAAGTTGAGTCTTGGATGTCCAGGAATCCAAGTCTCTTTCCTAGTTGAATTTCCTGGTATGCATGTCTGCTTGTTTGTTAGCCCAATGTGTAAGTCAGGATCCCACATGAGGGATGATGTATAGAGGGCTTGTATCACGAATGATTAGGACCAGCCAAGGGACTTTATATGCTTAACAAGTCTCTCCGCTTATTGCCAATTGATTTTAAGTTGGATCAGTCATCGACTACAGAATTCAAATGAAGCCATTGCAAGTCCTGCATATGTAAATAGCAAGGCGCTAGGGGGGTGAGTGCCAGCTTTCAGACTATTCAACCAATTACCAGTCCTTAGACTCGAAAAGCCATGTGCTTAAACTTGAGAATCTAAGCTTTTTCAATTTGCCCCTGCTATATGAAGTGTATACCTCATTCCATTACAGTATAACAAAATTTCAGTTACACTGCAGGACTTTCATTTCTCATTATCTCAACCCATGTTCTTCTCAGTCTTCTCGTCATTGCAACCTTGGATCCATGCCACTAGCTGGCTCGCACATGTATACTCTTCATTATAGTTATTTCTGTTAATATCCAACACCAACAATTAATATGGAAGCTTACCATAGTACAGGAAACTTTGCCCACAGTCGGTAAATATATCCCATTCCAAATGGTTCTTCAGATAAAACGATATGCCTTCTTGCATAACTATAATAAGATAACTTCCAGTTTCAAATCCAAAAAATCCACCTACCCTGATCTGACACCCCAAACACTAAAAACAAAGGCAGGAAAAAAATGTGAAAAGATGTAAAATCCAAGGATCAGTTACTTATATTCTACATGAAATCAGGATCAACCAATCAGGCAACACTTAGCCACCTGTTTTCTAGCCAATCCGGTCAACAACAAATTAATTGAGAATGCCAGGGTAGCATGCCTAATTGTTGCATAATGCTTTACCATTGCTGTATACAGCCTTCCAGTCACAACTATAGGCCACAAGGGTGTGTGTAATGGTGGGTTTCTGCATTTTTTTTGTTTGGGGGAGATTTGGGGTTTGGGTGGGGGGGACCTGCTACCTCGTGATAACAACAATGAACATTTTATACATGCAAAACACCAACAACCACAATAATAGTAATATTGAAATTGAAAAAATATTAAAAGCAATGAACAAAAAAGAGAGTGCATAGCTTGTTCATGAAGGTAAAAAAATTATAAAAAAATTAGAAAATTTTGACCTTTTCCTTCTTCCACTAATCTTGAGGACTTGGAGCAAGTTAAGTTTCCCACAGCCTTGACTGGTCTATGTTCTGCAGCATTCAGCTGTGGATGTAACCGCTTTTTCATATCAAGTTCAGTACCAGGTGAAATAGACTCATGGATTATACTTTCATGCATCTGCTGTTCATTAGGCTGAGTGATATCATCTGAGGGCATCACGGAAAAAAAAAAGATTAAGACAAGGCTTCAGCATTCCAACCAACATTAAATTACTTAAAGCTGATAACTGCAGAAATTACACTGACATGGATCAGTCAAAGACAATAGACCAAAATTTAACCAAGAAGGCTCAAGTTTATATGGCACAAAAAATTTAGCAAAGCACATGAAATACATTTCAAATTCAATCACAGAGATTCTTGGAATAAAAGCTCAAATGTGAAAATAATAAATTAAAATGGCAAATGAAAAGGCACAAAGGAACTTCAATGTCCCAGACAGTCTTTCCGAAGATAAAAACATTAGATACTACACCTGTCCACCGAGAAACATGTATAGTATCTGGAAAAGGACCTGTTGCCTACATTCTTTCTTTTTTTTCTAGATATCCATTGCCTATATTCATGGCCTACCAAAAACTCTGTTTACAAGTACTGCTGGCACAAAATAAAAACAGAAACCAAAAATGCAACAACTTTAATAACAATGACTTACTCCCATATGGTGCACCATGTTAACAGCACACAAAGAAGCAAAGAGTTGTTAAACGGCACAACAATTCCTCAAACACCATTGCTAAGTGGGAAGTGGTACCCTTTGCTATCCTTCTAGCTGGGTGTCTGGCATGACTAACACAGCATCCATTTCTGGCTTTTTGCAGCGCACCCTATGCAGAATTTCTTGGATCCATATAGGTTTTTGTTAAGGCTGAAATCTCCCTTCCCCTAGAGTTTGTAACCAAGGGAAAATTCAATGCTGGTTGCACTCTTTCTTTACATTTTTGCACCTCCTATAGTTTGCAACTGAGAGAAAATTCAATTGTTGGTGCACTCTTTTTTACTTTACCCATAATAAAGTTTGTACATGATGGAAAATTCAATGTAGGATGCACTCTTTACTTTTTTGTACATGAAGTATTAAAACAAAAACATTACGACCAACAGTTAACTTTTTTGTACATGAAGTATTCAAAAAAAAAACATTACGACCAACAGTTCCAATCCAAATATCCAATTATCACAGTTGCTAAGCCAGAACAAAGTGTGGATGTCGAGCCTGCTCATTTTGCATGACTCAATGTCTTATATAGAACCTTCAAAGTTAGAATTCATATCAGATAATAAGACACCTGAAAGCACTGTGGTGGAAATCCTTGGCCTCACTATCATACTTCCTCCCTCCAGTACTCGTCTAAACCAGATATCTAAGAACCAAACAGAAGCACAGGCCAAAAATAGAAGTTACTGATTAGAACATATACAGTAGTGAGTTCACAATCAGATGACTTCATCATATGCCACATCTACTTAGTTTCACCTAACCTACATAAATTGCAAATTATAAATTTACTTGCAGATTACCAAAAGGAATGTATAGATCTGCTAAATAATATTGAAACATCTACGCATGCAAAAACCCAAGTGGACAGCAAAATATTACAAAGAAGATATTGATAATAAGAGTAGAAAGTACGCCCAAGCAAACACATAGCACTCGCATAAACAAAGATTCATAAGTACAAAATTATCAATAGATATAAGCAAATAGGAAAAGACGGAACTACAACGCAATCCAACAACCAAGGCCACACCAAGCTAACTCATACACAACACAGATGGGAAAAGCATCTTTACACATCCACATAAAGAAGCTCACATGCGTACAAAAGCTTTAAAAATAAACTCACACATTCACACATATATAAACTCAAAAGGAGAGGTCTATGAATGCAGAACTACAAATAAGTAAGGATCAAAATTTCGTTTCGAAACGGTTCTGTTTCTTGGAAAACTAAAATGAATCAATGATAAAATTGAAATTCCAATAGTTTAACGTGTAATGAATTGTTTCGAGGTGTTTCCACTATTGTTTTGGAATGTTTCGAGGTGTTTCAAAATTTTCAGTATTTTTCAACCAACGTTTTGGAATGTTTTAGAAATAAATGCCCACATTTTTTATTTGTTTTCATTCCAAAACATTAGCGTTTCCTAGGCGAACAAAATAATCTACCGAAACAAAATTTTGATCCCTACCAACAAGCATATGCAAACGTAAAAATATAAATAAAATGCAATCCAGCAACGGTGGTCATACTAACCTTCCATATCCATGTCGGAATCAGCAAGCGAAGGAGATCCTGCAATATCCATCAAACTATCTGGTTGGATTGAAGAGCCAATCCCGGAGGGTCTCAATGCTAAATCACTGCACTGATGTCCTTTGTATAATTGAGTTGCCAACAAGCATTTCTTTTTCATCCACTCAAAATATTCATATGCAGCGGCAGCTTCACTTCCTGGCTTACCACCAAACAAAAATTCAAACTCTGGATTCCCAAACTCTTTTTTACGAGTCATGTCTTCAAATCCAGGACCATTTTTTGCAATATACTGGCATAGAACTTCAATCTTCTGAACAGTTTTATCATCCACAGGCTTGAGTGGAGATGGAGGAAGATCCAGCTTTATAGTTTCCCCGTATGGATAACCATCTTCCACTACAGAACTCACCTCAAAGCTAGTACCTTCTTCACGATTAGAAAGGTCACCATGTACAGGGGTGTCATTTATAATCTGCTGGGGCACTAAAGCTCTATCAGCAGAAACAGATGCCATCCCTTCTAGCCTAGAACCTTCATTTGAACTCACACCATACTTGGACTGATTGGGTGAATAAGAAGCAGTAAGGAGAGCTGTAGAAGATGAAATCATAGAAGAAGGAGGTGGAGAGGTAGGCGGTGGTGAAGAGGGTGGAAGGGGTGGAGGTCCTGGGGGAGATGGAGGTGGAGGTGGTGGTGGAGGAATGCCCATGGAAGGAATGTGAGGCTCTTGAGGTTTTAAGAATACGGAGGAGCCATATGGGGCTGGCGTAAAAAAACTAGAAGTGGGTGGAAGAGGAGGTGGTGGTGGTAGAGTATGTTGAAGACCCTGCACGCCACTAGGTGGTGGCAGATGAATTGGGCCTCTATACAATATTTGACCTTGTGAAGGAGGAGGTGGTAACATTCCAGGAGCCAGTGGGGGCCGTAAAATATCTGGGTGACTGGGGCCAGTGGTCGTTGGACCAAGAGAACTCGGTAAGGGTGGTGGAATGTGGTGCACATTTTGAGTCCACTGAGGATTCAGCTGGGTAGTTTGGTAGTTATGTGTCATTGGGGTACTTCCATGCACTTGTAGTGGAAGCAGTGGAGTCGCATAAGACTGACCTGAGTTCAATACTCCACATGGTAGAACAGAAACATTTGCACCTTGCTGAGCTGGGGCAGGAGGGGCATGCCGATATAAAGTGGGCCCTGGTGGACCTGCATGAGGTGGACCAGCTTGAGCTTGAATCAGAGGAGGTCGTGGTACTAGAGGACCTTGTTGCAAAGGAGGAGCCGGAGGGCGCTGTTGGAATGGAGGAATCGGACCCTGCCCAAACTGAGAAGCATAATTCCCTTGAGCATACATCCTATGGTCCTAATTAACTAGTACAATACAGAAATTCAGGGCTAGGGTTCTGCCACATAGATCCCCATTTCCACAATCAAATCATCAATTAAAGCCTCAGAAACACCCCTGTGATACATAAGCAGAACAGGCACTTAATAAGATGAAAATATTAAACAAAATAGCATATTCAATCGCTGATTAAAATTGGTATCATGAATTCGATGAATTGATACAGACAGACATACGAAGAAGAAGAGGACCAAAAATATTAAGCAATAAAAAAACACAAAAAATGCATGGGACACAAGTAAACCTTCAAACACAGCAAAATAATCACTTGGCTCCATAACCCAGTTGGGCTTCAACTCCAAGTTTGCTACATTGAGATTTATTCCAATTCAACACCATTTTGGACTATACTGTAGCTATATCGAGCAATCCTTGTTTTTCCATGACTTCAATCAAACCGTATTTAATCTAATTACACCTCCGCACAATGCTAATCCACAGACAGTGAAAATGAATTTCACTTCCATCTTTCTTCAATTAACACCTGAAATCCGATGAATCATTTGACAGTCTCAATGTTAAACAATAAACAAGTGCATAAAAATATAAAAAATCACCCAACAAGCCAAAAATCTAACCCTGATAGTATCACAAACCCTTTCCTAGTTTCCTAGGAAACCAATCCTCTTCATCATCAAACATCTATTCAACATTAATCCAATCCAGTGAACCATCAGATACAAGAGCATCTATAACTTTTAATTGGTTAAAAGCAACTCAAAATAAATACTTTCTAGCAATAAACTACAGAAACACTCCGGGCAGTAAAAATCTCTAAATTATTCATGAATATTCGAATTACGGAAAATCATTAAGCAAGAGCAGCAATTATCAAAAAAAATATATCGACCTTCATTCCTTTCTCTCGAAGTAACTCCCCGCATCGAAAACAAAATTACAAACCATATACTTAATTACTATACATATACACATACCACAAGTCATGGCTTACCAAAAGAATCGGGAAATAGAGTTGCACAGCATCAAGTGAATAAATTTTAGGGATCCGAACAGAAACCCTAGAGATTAGAATTAAACAAATTAGAACTATTTAAAGGGTTTTCGAAGTGTCTGAATGATGAAATGGCGAGAATTAGATTTATAGAACCCTCACTACAAGGTTGGCTTTGTTGTTGTGATGGTCTCTTCAGATTCTTTAGTTCGAGCTCAGCGTTAGCACAGAGAGGTTTTGTCTCTCTTTTTTTTTTTCCTTTTTTGCCTATAAAATACTTTTTTGGGGTCGATTTAGCATAAAGGAAAGGTTCTAACAAATAACTGCTATTTTATCTTTTGGTTAATTAGTTCTTTTGCCTCCATCAAAAAATAATAAAATTAGTTCCTAGTTTGAGAAACATTGCAAGGTATCAAATAGACAATAGTATTGCAAGTTGTGAAATTACACTTCATCCCTTTCAATTTAAGTAATATTAGTGACTAAAATAAGACATGGTGTAAATGTTAGGGGTCACCGCCATAATTAATCTTTAAGGGTGTGTCTAGATGGCAAGATTATACAGGATTGGAGATTTAAAAAAAATATCATTTTCTATCTAACCTAAACCCGCCTATTATTGGACTGATTAGAATTAAGTACTATATTATATCATTTCTAGTATGTGGATAAACACATAAATACTTATGTAGGACCTATGTAGAAGGGTGATGGAATATGGTAATACTAGTCATAATAATTTGTAAAATTCGAACGTCAAAAAAATTAATCTCACTATATTAAATAATAATTTTTATTTCCTTCATTTATTTTATTACATGATTTAAAATTTATTTTTACCCATTATTTTTTAAAAAATATTGACAAAAATACATAATCTGATAAATTTTCTCAACATGTGTATATTATCGTGTATGAATAATGTCTGAAATAAAAAATATGTTAAACTATAAATTAATCAAATATTAAATGATTAAACTTGTGATAGAAATAACAGATGTGATAGTTTTGGGGAGAATATATATGGAATAAAATTTCAAATATCTAGCCGTTTTATTATATATATTGATTGTTTTGTCTCTAATCTATCCAATCCAACACCACGTTTAGTTTGTAAGTTAGCATTTGACCAATTCCAAACAAATTTTTCTTACAAATAATTTTTAAAAATATTATAATTTCATTTCTTTTAGACAGGTGTTCAAATTTTACAAGCACTATTGAGAAGTAATTCAAGCTCTCATTAATTAGTTATTTTATTATTAGTTGTTAATTAATCTTAGTCCAAATAAGATATTATTTCATTAGAGTTAGTTTATTGTTTAAATTAGTTGTCTTGTTGGAGAATACGGTCTTGGTCTTCTTGAGGTATATCGGCAGAGCCTTGGTTTGA